GAAGGCTGCTGTAACATTCAGCATAAAATCCTCCCCGAGAATATTGAGTTCCTGCTGGAGTGGGCTGGGGTTTGGGAACTTGGAGTGTGGGTGCAGTGCACTCAGCCCCGATCTTTACCTGGGAATTTAGGAGCTGAATTTTTCTGTGTCCTCTTCTGGGTGAGACAAGTTGCTGAGGTGTTTTAGTCACTTCGGCTGAATAGCTTGCCTGAAATGTTAATGATGGTAAAAATATACCTGCATTTGATGTCTCTGAGTAAATAAACACTTGAAATACCAGAAGTTTTCATTTACCATTAATTATGCACAATAAATTCAATTACTTGTCATAGAGAATTAAGCTGGCATGTATACATGTCCCGTGGCAAACACGGTGTTTGTTTTTTAAACAGCTTCTCCTCTTCAAATCACTGCATAAATGCAGCATTTTATTTGTTTACTTTTTTCATTACTGCAATTTGCAAACATGAGTGTTTTTCTGAAGGAAATGTTTGTGGGGTTTTTTTGTGTGTTTTGTTTGTTTCTTTCTTTTTTTCCCATCTTGGTTGCTCTTTATTTATTTATTTAAACGGTGCTTGTCAAAACAACCCCTCTCTAACAAAATCTTCTGAAGATGTCTGTAGACGGGTAGCCAGCGCTTTGCTACCTGAAGAGCTCTCATTTCACCCGCTCCTTGGTTCCCAGCTCCCATGGCCACGGCCTGTGGATGACGGGGAACAGTGAGAGCCTGGCAAGCCCAGGACACTGAAGGAAGATTGATGTTCACCATCCGAGCACTGTGTTGTGTTGTGTTGTAATCGCACACCCGGACTGGTAGGGTCGGGGTGGGTAGCACGAACTTTCCTGTGGGCTTTGTTTTATTCATGCCCTACAGAGCACGCAGTATCCCTGCTCGGGCAGGACTGTGTTTAACACCATCTCTTGCCTCTATCGGTGTTGCAAAGTTACCTGCTTTGAAAAGTTTCGGAGCAGAGCAGGGGCTTCTATTTCTAGATATTTCTGTGGCCTTACCACCGACCTCCGGGCTCATGTGGAGCCGACCGAGGCCGGCCGGCCGTGCCCCACCTCGCAAACCGAGCAATCTCCAGGTCCTCCAGCAGCCGAGCGTGGTCACCGGGCTGGAGGCTGCTGTTTCTATAGCAGCAGCAATTCCGTCTCCTCTCGGTAATCAGAGAGCCTGCTCGAAAACGAATCAGGTAAAATTTGTTGTGCTTTTGGCTTCAGCCTGTGTCGCCAGTTCGGAGCACGAGCGGTGTGGTGGAGGCGAGCACAGCCCTTGGAGGGGTCTCTGTGTGGGAGCTGGGCCTGGAGGCACCGCAGGGCAGCAGCCAGCGCCGGGCCCTACACTCAAATTCAGCCTACAGCAAATAGCTCCTGAGGAGAAAACATGCACTCGGAGGGAGGCAGGTGTTGTCCCGAGGCCTTCCTGCCTGCCCCTAGGTGACTGCAATTCGCCTGTGCCTCTCCCTCCTGTCCTGAGGCATAGCAGCGGTGCTTGAAAACACCTCTGAGAATAAAACACGTCAGGAACTCCAGCTTCAGGGGCTTCCTGAAGGAAACAGCATGGCCTGAGCCCTCATCCCGTGTGTCCCAGGGCTCCAGCATGGCCCGGCTGCCTGGCCGGGTTGTTTGAGGCCAGCCGTGACAGGAGGCCGTGCAGCTGGAGCGGGGCTCCCATCGAAGTGGTGCTGAGCAGCTCCGGCCCCGCTCTGCTTCTGCTCGCCCACCTGCTGGCAGGCATTAGGGAAAAGCCATGCGGCAATTACTGTAGAAATCTTATCCATGAATTATATTTCCTGCATAAATATTTTTTCAAGAATTACAGTTATTGCAGAATTCTTGATGTATTATAATTCTGTGAAGTGGTGTAGAAATTATATTCCTGGCCCGTAAATATTCACCTGCCTCGGAGTGAAGATATAAATGTCAGCTCTTATTCTTCTCAGAAATGAGAACCACAGGTAAACAGGAGAGGAGGAGATGGACATTTTGCTTTAATACTTTTATGGCTGAGCAGAAAGCCAGCTGAGATCCCTCGAAAAGGCTATCTCATTGGTAATACCTTTAATAAGTTCTAAATGATTGCATCCGTTTCTGCTCTTGACAATTGCTCTCTCAATGTGCGGATTCTTGGCTGGGTGAAATAAAAAAGCAGCTATGAGGTTTGACAGGACGCTTTCAAACACAGCAGATTAGCTGGCTATCTGCTGCTATTTAGGTGGACGTGCTGTTGGTGGTTTGGGTAGTTATAGCGGCTGTACTAATTGCTTGTGTAGATGGTATTGCATGCAATCTACACTATTTTTAGGTCTACTAGCAGGATTAATAAATAACTGCTTGGGTCAATGTGCTCAGTGGATGTCATTTCTTAGTAATTTTATTAGCTCATCTCCCTCGCTTTCTGTTGCATAAAAACTTACTCTCTGCAAACAAAACAGAGCAAACAGGAGGGAGGCAGAAGTCTTGTGAGGATCAGCAAGTGAACGGAGTGGAGAAATCCCACCCTAATCCAGCACAAACACTGTGCTCATTGACAGAGGCCTCAGAGTGCCCTTTTTTCCCCAAGACACCCACACACCAGGCCCGGGGGGCTCTCAGGACCGCTCACCTCCATGTGCCCAGCAGCTCAGCTGGGCCATTGGCCAAGGTTCCTCTAGCCAAAGGCATCAGCAATCATGTTCCTGTAGCCAAAGGGCTTTTATGAGGAAGAAACCGCTGTGCTGATCTGACTGTATCTGAAATGTTGTTGCCTTTTTTTTTTTTTTTTTTCCCCTCATGTATTGGCATTAGGCCAGAGGTGTTCAGGGACTGCCCAGGCAGGAGCCCCACACCATGCACTGCCCCGGTACAGTCCCTGTGCTGCCCACCCACTTCCTTCACGAGCTGGTGGCCGGTCAGTGGGCTGAGACCCACAGCTGAGCGCTTGCTCCTGTGCAGCCAAAAATAGAAGGTGGCACCTTTTACAGCACAGGGAATTTTACAACAATTAATTGCATTGTCGCTGCTTGCTAAAAGTCCCCTGGTGCTATTGACCAGGCAGAATACGTGCCCGTGTGTGATCATGGATATTGGCTTAATTTTTGGTGAGAATTTGTAGCACGAGTTTTTGCTGCTTTTTGTAATATGGAGGTGTTGCAGGTGTTTAAATCTCAGCACCTGGGAGCTGGTTGTGCTGCAGGCCCGTGGCAGAAAGCATTGGTAGGGTTTGACTCTGTCCCACCCTGCCGAGGGGCAGTTTGCAGCGCTGGGCAGTGCATGGAAGGGGGCCACGTAGAGAAGGCCAGCGTGAACAGAGGCTTAGAAATCACCATGCCTGTTCTTTCTCATGTACAGCTCTGCAATCATCTGAAAAACAATCAGAATGTGAGGAAAAGAAAAGGGAGCGGTGCCCTTTCATGCAGCATTGCTTGAAATGGGGTCAAACGCCACATTTCTTTCAAGTAGAGAGGTTTGGGGTTGGTTTGTTGTTTTTTGTTTTTGTGGGTTTTTTTTGGTCTGGATACAGGGCTAATGAGACCCTTTGGATTTTGCTCTGATTTGGAAAGCCACAGCATGCACCAGTCCCTAGCTGAGATGGAAAGGGCTGTGTCACGCTGACGTGGAAGGGAACTGAGACCTTCAGCTGGGAGAGGCATGAGAAAGCTCATTAGAAACCCACCACAGGGCTGGAATTCACACGTGCATGGACAGCGAGCGTGTGTACGAGTTACATTTGCTAACACTGATGTACGTAGCGTGTGCTGGAGCTAGAAACGTACTGACACTCACCCTAAAGCTTTAGCAGCAAGCAGAAGTGATTGTTCAAAAAGCCATAAGCCTTCATTAACCTGAGATGGATTGCCTTTTTCTTCCTCTTTCACTATACTCACACAATTGCAGTGGTGTGATCACAGATCCACAGCCCCGGGGGGCTGGAGGTAGATGGGTCCACACAGGGCTTTTGCTACGGAAGCCCACGAAAAAGCAATGACCAAAACCCACCTTCACGTGGGTCATGTTGAAGTACCCAAAAGAGATGATGGTGAACTACACATGAAACCTGTAGCTTACCTCTACGTTAGCTTTCCGTAGTGAAAAAGAAAAGCTCATCCAAACAAAACTGCAAATGTTAATTGTTTCGGAAGCTTCAGCTCGTCTGGAAGCCAGCTTCTCGTGGCAATGTCACCTGGGCAGCAGTGGGTGGGTTTGGGGGAACCACCTGCAGCACCTAGGCTGCCACAGGCCAACGATGGACAGAGAGGTTCTCAAGGTATTTGGGTAAGTAACTGCTTTAAATGTCATTTGACACAAACGTACATAAATGCTGAGCATCCAGCAACTCCAGATCTGACATGTAAGTGCTCCTTTTCCAGGATATTTTATTTTTGGCAAGCAATACAATAGGACATGATTTTCTGCCTGGGCATGCTTCTATCAAAAGTATTTTTCTAAAATGAACGGAGCTTTCTGGTAAAATGCTTTTGACCTATTTTATCGCCAATTCAACATGCTGCCGAGACATAAAATGCTGCCAAATTGTTCCTGTTTATTTGTGAAGCTGTGATACAAAATGTAGAGTTGGAAAATCTTTTAAAACTTGAGCTGTTTAATGAATGAGCCTCCTGTTACTTCCTATATGGCTTCTCACACACAGGGCAGTGAGAACACAGCAATATTTTGACTCACAAAGTCCCTATATATTTTTTTTTTATTATTATTATTTTTTATCAGAGCTGGCCAAGTTTGTTCCTACAGGGGAGAGTTTGCAGAAGTGCAGCATATGGCTCTGCAGCCTGCAGGCAATTTTCCTGCAGAGTCTTCACTGCAGGTACCACAGATCTCTACAGCCATGTCCAGACCCAAAATTGCAGGGGGAAGGGAACCAGCTGTTCTAGAAAAGCCTCCTGATGTCCTGGTCACATTTTTAATTTTTTTTAAATGAAGCTGTTTCTTAAAGCTTCAGGCTATAACGTACCCTCGAGGCAGGCAACTCCATCCTCATCCCGCAGTGGTGGTGGAGAGGCGTGTGTCCTCCTGGAGGCAGCTGGCAGTATTTGACTTTCTGATGAAAAGGGCAGGTTATCCAGGTGGCTGCTTCCCATCCTCCAGGTGAGAGCAGCTCATTTTGCCCAGTAGCTGTCTGAAGAAGCAGACCCTGGTCACCATCTAGAGTCAACACACCCCAGTAAGCGCGACTCCCCCGACTTTGGCATTTCCCTACAGGTAAGTTTTAGTGTCAAGGGAGGCAGAACGAACAGGAGGTATGGTGCAGGCTGCAGGAGCTGCTACAGCATGTGTGAATGCTTGAATGTTGCCTGTCTGAAACTTTTCCTGCTTGGTGCAAGAGTGAAATGGAGGAGGCTACTCTTCTTTCCTAAAATTGCATGCATTTTGCTGGATTTGGCCGGATGCTCAGTGACTTGCAAAGAAAAGGCCATTTCCTAAGTGAGACCAAAGAGAAGCCCTGTCCTGCCTCAGCACAAGAAGCCAGCCCCCTTGCTTCTTTTTGTGACCCCAGATTAAATGTTATAAATTCTATTCTATGCACAGAGTTCTGCCAATGTCACAGTCACAGTGTAGTTAGAATTTACAGCGTCTCCTGAAGAAATGCTGGGTGAAATGAAACGATCTGTACACCCGTACTTAACAGGCAGAAAAGGAGCGTGCCTGCCCCAGGGGCTGTAACGTTACAGCTGTTCTGGTTTATAAACCAGGTTCCCGTGCACAGCCCTGCCCAGCCCCACGTGCAGTTATGAAGGGTCTCATGACTTTATTTCTTTTTCTGTTCACATTTAATACCACAGACACAGCTGAAAGTTGAAACACTGATGTGATGTCAGGTGCGTGATCAGTTCATTTACACAGACGTGTTAGTAGTGAGCTTACATCTTTACAATCTTTTCAAGATTCCCCGATTTCTGGTTTCCCTGAGTTGCACGATGTCTGCCATCAGATCTGAATGTCAGCTGGCAACGACCGAAAGAACAAAACGAACAGAAAGGCAGAAGTGGTTAGAGACGAACAGGGGGTGATGCTACAGCACTGCTGCTCCCCTAACACCCGCCAGCCAGGGCCTCAGTCCGCTCCAGAGGTTCAGACGAAGTTCATCTCACTATTTGGGCCTTTTGCATCTCCCGTTTGCTGTGCTTCCCCAGCTAGTTCTGTGGTTTGCCCCTAAACCTGCGCGCCTGCGTTCAGTCCTCACATCAAGCCTGCTCTCACAGCAAGTGTGCTGGGGGGAGCAAGCCAGCCCTATCGAAACTCTGTGTGATACCAAAGACACAGAATATGCAGAATAGGCCAAATTCTCTTTTCGCTTATACCTGAGCAGCACCGTCAGCTGAAGTGGAACAGGCAGCACGTGGCCCATCGGCGGTAATAGGAGGCTGAAGGCAACGGGAATTTTGCAGACAGACAATTCATTCTGTAGACTCAGTTGTGGACCAGCTGGCAATAAATACTAGAATCAAATAAATAAAAGCTGCTATTGCACATGCATGCCCCTAAGCTCTATTAGCTGGACCACAAACTCCACGTGTTGGTGTGACAACAGGTGCCATGTAAGGCAGCTGTACTAGCGTACGGGATGGAGAGTGTTCTGGTTTGCTTTGTGTTAGAGTGGCATACTTGAGTTATAAAACTCGATTTAATTTTTTTCTGGATCAGGTATGAGAATGCGTCCACCTGTGTGTCTTAATGCACATTTTTCTCTTTCTTTTTCAGGCCTTGTCAGTTTAAAATGTTCTGAAACACGAGCACAGTTTTGAATTTCACACTGCAGCAAACCAGCACGACTGCACCCCAGGCTCTGACCGCCTGCTACGCCCGCAGCAGGAGCCCGTGGTGCTCCGCGGGCAGGAGCCCCCTCCTCACACTGCTGACAAACTGGGGTATGGGGGGCGCAGCGTAGGCACAGGCAGCCACAGGCAGCACGAATACTGGAACAACTAAAAGCTTCCAAGTTTGGCTACAGCGAGTCGTTCACAGTCAAGCTGAACAGAACAAGTACAGATGAATTAGCTAGTTAAAAAAAAAAAAAATACTTTGGTGGGAGATCGCATTCCCAGTGTTTATAGCATCACTGCAGTCCTGAAGTCAGCACTGTCCTTGTCCCACTGATAAATATTCAAAAAATATTTCAGCACAGCCGCGTTCTAAGCTGCTTCTATAAAGGTATTTTTTTGTTTCCTTTTGATTCAGACCTGACATAAGGGTCATTTATTTTTAGCATGTTTAAAAACTATCCATTTGTATGTCTCCTCTTCTTTTTGATCTTTGTTTAAAAATCTGGATTATGAAAAGTGTATCAAATTCTATGTTTACTACTCCAAAAAGGCAATTATTTTTTTTTCTCTCCTTAGGGTCTGGCTATAGGTTAGCCAAATTTTTAGCAAAACTAAAGTTAACTCTGGAATAACTCAGCCCAAATTAGCTGCTACTGAAGTCGTACAAATTCTCAAGTGAGCCGGGCTACGTTTGCATGTTCCAGATGGGAAAACCTAGCTCCCCTGTATTCAAAAATCATATGGTGGACAAAAGCAGCAGCAAAGTATGACTCGAGTGTCGCCAAATTCTGTAACCGTGTGTCTCCTTTGAGATTCTCGAGGCCTAGTCAGTTTTTGAAAATCCTTAGCCGCCCGCGTCACGTCTTTCAGCAAATCCAGGTGACGACAGAAGTACAGCTTTGCTTTTCGATTTGTGTCTCCCGCCCCGCGTCTCTTTCGTTATGGCTTTCTGGGTAATGCTGGAAAGCGATGCTCTGCTGCTCGGCACGCCGTGTCATGTGGTGACGCTCGGTTCTGTCCACACACGCGAACTTTCCTGCTTCGTGCTGGAGAGTCTTTTCTTTGGGAGGGGTTTGAGTCCAAAGAGCCGGCAAGCGGCGATTCGGTACTTCTTGGACATGATGTTGTAGAGGATGGGGTTGATGGCGGCGCTAAGGTAGAAGAGGACAAAGGACACCAAGTTGCAGTACTGGCTGATCACTGCTATCTCCAAGGATCCGGCTTCAAAGGATTTGGAAAATAAATACCGTCCTACGTGAAAAGGCAACCAGCAGAGTATGAAAGCAAATACCACCACAACTAAAATGAAAACAGCAGAAGAAAGTGTGTTAAGTGTGAGTAGGGAAATATGGGTGATTTAAATGAAATGTCATTCTATCTCTGTAACGAAATAATCCCAAAGTGTGAAAATGCACCCTATAATTTTTCATTTTATCTCAAGCACATTTTCTGACAGCATAAATTAGCAATACATACTACAAATCAGCCATATCTAAACAACCTGCCCGTATACTGCATGCTGTAGCACACTTCTGAACCATCAAACTTATCTTTTCCATAAAAGGAGAGAATTCAGGAATCAGAATGGTGACAAAAAATGTAATATAATCTATCATCTTCATCTACCAAAGCAAGATATATACAATGCGATAGACTCAACACTGTGGGTTTTAATGAAAAATGTAATCACTGGGAAGCAAAATGATTGAAGGCAGGGGCCCAAAGATAAAATAAGCCATCATCCGGATCAGTAGAGCACGTACACCAAGGTAACAACAAAAAAGCGGTCTCCCCCTCCAGTTTGTCTGTGCTTTGGAACATGAGTTACTCCACGAAAGGTAAACACATAACGTATAACTACATAGTTACAGTTACACGGCACATCTGTAATATTACACCATCACTATGGTTATGCATATGTATATTTGTGTTATATAAAATACAGGTAGAGTAATAGGAACGTAATAGGAATCTTTGAACACTGAGAAAGGGAAACTTCTGTTCACTTACTCTGTGCTATTGACCTTTGTTGTTTTTCATACAGTTTTGTGTGTATCTAGTAATATAAAAACGAACAAAACCACAGAAAACTCAAGGTTTTCTGATGTTCCTAAGCAATTGTTCCCAGCTAATCTGTTTTCTCTTGTTCACAGTCCTGCTTGCCTATGTCAACATATAGCAGATACAAAATTCAAAGAGCTAAGAGGGATCATAATCAGCATATTTCCCAAAAAACTTTATGAAAAAGCATTCCTTTGCTTACATAGGTACTTATGTAGGACTAATGATGGACTCTAAAGTACAGAGCTGGAATTCAGAGTATCTGTTTTCCACCTCTGCATCTTCTTGAGCCAACTAGTGCCCTTTTTCCTCAGTTTCTCCACCTGTGCAGTTCAGATAATGTTTCCCTCACTCACTAGTTACTGCATTCTAGAATTTAATGCATGTAATGAATATTACCACCATTGTGGTCATTATAAACAGTATTTTAAGCATTACTAATATTTTCATAGGTGGGCATGCATAACCCTCCTAGTCAGGCTTTGGAAGATGCAGTTTGGTCTTGCAAAATCACATTGATTTCAGCAGGAATGGGGTACGATAGCTCTTTTGAAAGTCAGGCTATATATTCAGGTGTTTAATTATGGTCCTAGAAGCATAATGTTTCTCTACAATTTAGAAGAAAAGTTGATGCTAATCCCATTTACTTTATGTTCCATGACCTGCTAAAGTCTTAGAAAGTGCCTTCTAAATTTTAAGCAGAAAATTAAAATCAATGAGAGCAGATTGCTTTGTGCATCTGCTAGTATTGAGCCCTTGCTAACTTCTTTTCTTTCCATCTGACATCAGACTGTTATCATTCAGATATTGGCTCTCTGTCAGAGGACAGTCTTGCTACTGTCTTGCTATTCTCAGACATGCAAAAGAAAAAAAGGGTGTCTGAAATACTGTAATGCTTGCAGGGCAGAAATAAGCCATTATTGTTTTGAAATTCTTTATGGTTAAGTATGCAGAAATGTAAACACAGTAGTAATATATGCTAGCAGTTTACTTATTGTAAATAGAGATTCATAATCTCAAGACTCTAGAAGTGTAAATGATGAATTGCTTCCAAGGTCACGTTTACCCAAATGAAGTAATTCTATTGATCATAAAACGTAGCTGGAAGGGCACAAAGCATGCGGCGGGTTTTATTATCCTTGCTGCTGTTGCATAGTAATAAAGCAGGGCGCGAACAAAAGATCAGTTAGGCTCCCATTTAATGATTCAGCTACTTAGGACACGCTGCCACCTCTTCTTCAAGCTCATTAGCCCGTCACCTCTGCCTGGCTGCAATGAGCACGGCGGAGCTGCTGCCTATGGAACCGTCATGTAAAGCATCCCCGGGAGCAGACCCACAGAAATCCCTCACACGGGGTCTGTGGCTTGAATGAAAGCACACAGCAGCAGGACCCTGCTGCCTCCAGGCACCGAACTGCAGAGCAACTTTTTGGTTCTGTGCCTCAGACTCCCTCCACATGCTCTCACGGGGAGGGCTTGCAGCATCGGGATGTTAAAATCTGTGTTTCTGTGCGGCAGCAATAGCTGTTGTTATTTAAGCCACCCGGCAATGTAAATACACAGAGTTAAGAATGACAGCACCTATCACTTCAATCCTGTTTTCTTGAAAACAGTGAGAATTCAGAGGATCAGACCTCAAAGGAGACAAAATGCTCACTGTTCAGCATGTGCCGGTGTTTTTCTAATACAAAAATGCCCATCAGTTTTCATGAGCTTACCCAGCCATGCCGGTAAATATCCCCAATTTGCTGGAAACTTGATATCCTTTTCATTTGAAACTAAGGGCACCGTACTGTCCCTGCTTGCTTAGTCTACAGCTCAACTTTGTGGTTTTAGAAGAGGTAGTTCTGTTTAAAAATCAAATAAACTATCCTTCTGTAAATAATGTCGGTATCCACAACCAAAGAGCAAAGATGTTCAAAAGTCTCCAGGGCAAGAGCTAATTGTAACTGTAGTATTTGTCTTTGTCAGTGATTGTTATTAAAATCTGCTTAACTGTTTTAGAGCCCCCAGCTCCAACCGGTTAGAAATAAATCTAAGGACGGGGGAAGAGTTATTCTACCACTACCTTGAAGTGTAGCCCTTTGTCTGAAGCATTTTAAATAAATGCTTTCCTTTAGAAGTGATTATAGTGACCTACCAGCTCTCTCTCAGTCTTCCTCTCTCTCTCTCTCACACACACAAGCACACAGACCCTCAGAAACACAGAGCACGACGAGTCGTACCTAACATTTTCACAGTTTGCTTGTTGTTCTTGTCCCTGATGACCGTGTTCGGACCGATGTTCTTTCTCTTTCTCCTCCAGAGCTTCCTCCCGATGAGGCTGTACAGCACGGTCAGGCAAAAGACGGGCAGGAAAAAGAAGACGCTGGAGGTCCAGACCATGATGGTGAGGAGCCCCGAGCGGATGGCGTACTCCGTGGCGCGGCACTCGTTGGTGCTCAGGGGGTTGGTGCCGTTCTCGTGCTCGACCCCCACCAGGACGAAGATGGGGCCAGCGCTAACGAAGGAGACGGCCCAGAGGATGAGGATGACCAGCTTGACCTTCCTCTTGGTGATGATCACCTTGGCGCGCAGGGGGAAGCAGATGGCGACGTACCGCTCCACGCTGAGGGCGGTGATGTTGAGGATGGTGGAGTAGGTGCAGCTCTCGCTGACGAACTGGAAGAGCTTGCAGAGGAGGTCCCCGAAGTTCCAGGGCCGGTACTGCCAGAGGCGGAACAGGTCCAAGGGCATGCAGAGGAAGATGAGCAGGTCGGAGAACGCCATGCTGGACAGGTAGAAGTTGGTGGTGGTCCTCATGTCCCGAAACCGCGACACCACCAGCATGGTCATCAGGTTGCCGAAGATCCCGATGACGAAGAGGACCACGCAGGCCACCGTGATGCCGGTGAGCACGGGCGCGGGGAAGAGGTGCAGCGGGGGCTCGCCGCCCGTCCTGTTCTCCGCGCCGCGCCCGCCCGCGCTCCCCTCCCGCATCCTGCCGCCCAGGGCCGCGCATCCCCGCGCCGCTGCGCGCCCTCCTCCGCGGGGCCGGGGCAGGTGCGGAGGGCGGGGAGGGAGCCGCGGCCCCGCTCCGCCTCTCCCCCCCCTTCCCCTACGCCCCCCGGCCCGGGGGGGACGGCGCTGGCCGCGCCTCAGAGCCGCGGGAGGCGGGAGGGGGGGCGCAGCCTCCGCTGGTGCGGAGCGAGGCTCGGCCCCGGCTCGCTGAGGGGGGGACGGGGGGCGGCTGCTGCTGCTGCTGCTGCCCCCTGCTTGGGTGTTTGGGGGCTGAGGGAGCTGCAGCGATCGGCAGCCCCGTCCGAGTGCTTCGCCCAGTTACATTTCCACTTGCAATTACGTTTTCTCTCACAAATTTTACCTCACAGTTGCATGTTCTCTCACAAATTTCCACTCACAATTACATTTCCACTCACAATTGCATGTTCTCTCACAAATTTTACCTCACAATTACATTTTCTCTCACAAATTTCCACTCACAATTACATTTTCCCTCACAATTGCACATCCTCTCACAAATTTTACCTCACAATTACATTTTCTCTCACAAATTTTCACTCACGATTACATTTTCACACACAAATTTTCACTCACGACTGAATTTTCACTTACAGTTACATTGTCACTCACAAATCATCCCTCACCGCAGCGCCCTGGCATCCTGAGCCGAGCAAAGCGCTGCCAGGGGGGCTCTGTCCTCTGCCCCCCCCAGCCCAGCCAAACAGCCCCCAGCCTTGTCTCACTCCCAGTTTACCATCTTTGTGCTCTCCCCTGCCCTTGCACCCCATCTCTCTGGGGCAACCAGTGCTCCCAGTCCCCGCTGGCATCCAGCTTAACACAGCAGGGACACAGAGTTTTGTGCTTTTTTGCCAGGGGACACTCCTGTGCACACTTGCCTATGTGTGCACACTATCTGCTATTGCTATCTCGTAACTGCTGAGCCTTATGTAAGGACAGAATGTAAGTGTGGGGTGACCCAAGGCTGGGTTACTCTGCCTGTGCCTCCGACCCTGCCTGATGACGAGCACTTTGCAGCGCTTCCCGTAATAATGCAGGCGCTACCCGTAGTGCCTCATCCACATCCCAATTTCGATATATTTTGCAGTTTCATTGGAGTCAGTATTCATCATTCTTGCTCTTGAACTGTGAGACAGTTTTGTAGCAAGTTACTCAACAGTTGCTAAATTTTATGGGGGTATAGCCACAAATCAATTGCAGTTGGAAAAAAAAAAAAAAAAAAAAAGGAAAGCCTATCGTGCTTCTCACTTTATTTATCCATCTGTCTATGTAATCACTTTATATATTTCTGAAGAAAAATCATGGTCTGTATGCCACCGATATTCAGTTAACTCGTATTACGGTTTTGTGTCCAATCTAATTTAAATGACGTTGCAATGTATTATAGAGGAACTGGTAACTGTCTCTGTATTTAGGCTGACAAATACTTTCTATTATTATAAAGAATTCTTTCACTCTTTTTTCCCCTCATGATATATTCTCAAACCAGTGGCAATAGCTGCAGGACTTTGATATTTGGCAGAGAAGATGGCCTGAGGCTACAAATGTGACTTTGCAGCGAGGATTTTTCATTCTCATGAAATCCTTCCAATTTTTGCTGAGCTGTATCTTGTCAAAAATGACCGGTTCCCTTTCCCCGGGGAGACAAAAGCTTTCTTTTAATTTTTCAGAAAACAACAACCAAAAAAAGTAAAATAATACTCAAACCGAAGTGTGTGTAGCAAAATCAAGTAGCCAAGTTTGAGGTAGCAGCAGATTTATATGTTCCTGACAGCTTGAGCTTGTGATGCAATTAACACCTCATTCATTGTGAGTTTGATGTCTTGAGTGCTGACCCACTTGGATCACAGATTGCAGTCATTCTTTGCACCCAGCAGCACTGACCCCCTGCTTGCTTGAAGGGCAGCATGATTCAAGGGCTCCTCTGGCTGCTTTTCCTTTTTGGGGTTGGGGCCAGAAAAACAGCTGAGAGAAGAAAAGCACTTCCAGTTTTCTGATTCTTTGATAATAGAAGGCCAAATCTGGAGGGGATATAAAGAGCTGAACTTCCACTAACTTTGCATGAAATCCTGCATGTGCTTGCATCTAGTGAAGGACTGGCATGCAGATAGTGGTGAGAGAAGATATAATAACTGGGAGAGAAGGTGGCTTTAAGTTCCCGATACTTACCTACCTGCCCTCAGCTGCAGGAACAGTACTTCTATGTTGCCTTACCAACCACAGAAAAGATTGAAGTCACTGATATCACCAGGATGAGAAAAATGGAGAGAAAGAGGTAAAATTTAAAGACTTTTTATTCACAGTTTTATTTGCTAACTATATGTATGACTAAAAGAGATATTCCAAAAAATACTAAATTAAAAAAAAAAAAAGAAAGAAAAAAGAACTAAAAACAGCATTACAAAGGACACTTACCTTTCAGG